CAACTCCCACATACATCTTCCTGTCTCGGTCTCGGTCTCTGTCTTTGGCCATGGTAGCCGGTAGGAGAAAGATCTGATGGACTGATTTCCCAGTTGGGGTATGGGGAGGCCGCGACGGCGACGGCGAGTGTAAGTGTAAGTGTAAGGAAAGAGAGAGTGGAGAGCGGAGAGGGTCAGGGATGGATGCGAGCGATATTATTGAATATGTGATCTGTAAAACCAAACGGAAGAAAACAGGTTGGGAGTATTAATAAATAATGAGTTGTTTTGTGGGGTTGGGGTTGGGGTTTAGGTTTGGGTTTGAGGAGGAGGAATGCGCCGACGACAACACCAACACCAACCCTTCCTTCCTTCTCCCTTCCCTTGCATTTACTGACGCCGCTGTGGGGGGAGAGAGAGAGAGAGAGAGGATGAATCAATGCTGAAAAGTAAAAAGGGAAGAAGAAAATGCGAGTTGGATTGGAATTGGAATTTGGACTTGGAATTGTTGTGTTATTGGAAAAGGCAAAAAGCCAGAGTGGCAAAGACCTCACTGTTACCCTCCATTAATCTCGCCCTAACCTAACTCAAGATTTGTTTGGTAAATTCTTTTCATTGGAATAATCAACCCTCCCAATAAATTAGTTAAAAAGTTGTTCTTCCTTTAATTTTACCCCCAGGCCAGGCCCCATCATCATCACTCATCATGCTCCTCTTCCTGGATCTTGAGTAGAGTTACAGTCGGTCATACGGTAGTGTAGCAGCGTGAATGAATGGGGGACCTAAAAAGAATATGATGAAAGATGGAGGGCGTGAAGTGCAAATTCGGTGGCGTTGGGGCCCTCACAGCCAACAGCCAACCCTGTGCTGTAAATCTGTAGCGGCAGAGGAACCTCAACTTAACGCGTGGCCTCTATCATTTTCATTTTCCCATTCCCATTCCCACCTATATTTACTTTTACATGTCGCCCGGGGATTGATTTTCCCCGTCGGTGCGTTTTCTACCCTTCCCTTTCCTTCTTTTACAGAATTCATAATACTGCTTGCTTTCGCTTTCACTTTCACATATTAAAAATCTACAATTATGAATTCAGCATCAAATCTAAATCAACAATCTCCAACGGATTGTTTTTTTTTTTCTCTTTTCTATTTTCCTTTCAAACAAATAATACTAATAATAATAAAAAAAAGGCCTTGAGAAACTGGAATCTTGCGCGTTACTCCCAAATTACATTACATGGCATGACCAATCATTACCACACTACAATCCTTCAATTTTTCCACCTCCTATTATTATTATTATTATTATTATTATATAGTTTAGTTAGTGAACAGACAAGTAAAGTGAAGACAACCAAATCTCTGTTTTTCACCATACTCAATAGTCAAAAGTAATTTCCAATACCGTCGCATCTGCTTCAATTTATCCATGTTTCGTTTGCAACATAGAGACGAGCAATTAATGTTTTTATTTCCTCAAATTAATTAATTAATTAATCAATGTAATGGGATGATATGACGTTCGATGTAAGAATTAATGAATAACCACATTTCCAATACATATTTGTTAGGAAAGAAAGGAGTGGTTGGCGTCCATCTACTTTGGCTACTTCCATTCTCTACTTTGCAAAGATTCTTAATCATTGAGGGGGAAGGCGTCGGCCCACTATTAAATATTATTCCATACAGTTGTTGGGTCAGCAATGTACATTGTATTCCTCTTTTTTTTCCCCCAATAAATATGGAGTAGGTGATATTACACCTTTGAAACGTATTCCATCAAATATTCTTCTTTTCTTCACAATTTTTAGGCATTTATATAATTGTTTACTAAACTTTATTAATCAATTAATCTATTTTATTTGTTGTGATCCAATATGTTTAGGCCTTGGATATATGATAGTTATTTTGATTCTTAAATTTTTTTTTTATTTACAAATAGAGGTGAGTAGAGGAGCTTGAACCTTTAACATTAAACAAACAATACTTGTCTTTCCCTATAAATTTTTTTTAATAATATGATAGCATGAAAATATTTGTACACTATTTTCATTCATGGTCTAATACTAGGGTCCATAAAAAAAAACATTTTATACTTTATTCTTAGGTTCTGAAATATTAATCCATTAGCTCAAAGTTTTAAATTGAGTTTCTATTTATTCCTTAAATTTCAAAATATTATATCTTTTACTCCTAAATTTTGATTAGTACTTATTTTTAGTATATGACATGATAGAATCTTCCTAACAAAAATGATGACTACGATAATGACATGTCTATTTAATATTAATTAATATATATTTTCTGACAATAATATTAATTAATATTATTTTGATACTTATGAGGTAAAAATATTTGTTTTTGCAATACTTTAATAAGTGATGTGGTCAAAGCAAGCGTAACTCAATTTTAATTGACATATATCTCCAACTAAGAGGTTGTAAGTTCGATTTTCCACCTCACGTATTGTACTGTAAAATAAAATAAAATAAATGATGTGGAAAAAAGTACTCTATAGACTAGTCATATTTGTTTTGTAAGAAAATTTATGATGATACTTGTAAATATATAAATAGTATGCTCTATATATAATATATGTAGGTATATATCCAAAAAAAAGAAGTAATATTTATGTAGTTTAATGTTTTTATTAATTTAATAGCTTGTAATGTATTTTTTTATTAATTTATTTTATATTGAATTTAAATGTTACTTCGTAAAACACATTAATTTGAAATTTTTATAAAATATTTAATATTAACTATTAATTCAAATTCAAACTTTGAATTTTTTTTTCAAAAGAAAATTATAATGATTGATAAGATTTTTACATTATCAAATAAGAATGAAAAATTGAGGGGAATAATATTGATTTCTTGGAATTTGTTTTGTATACATGTAAACCAAATAAATAGAGATATTATACAATTTAATTGAAGTTTATTATGTATGTAAATGTAATATATTAAGATATTTAATGGCATAAAGTTGTTTATTGAAGCAGTATATAATTTTATTTAAATTATAAAATGAAAATAGATGGAAGAAAATATATATGAAAAAAAGTGGATGACAATAATATAAAAGATATGCTTCAATATTAAAATATACATATTTTAAAATGACATGCAAAATGTATCAGATATCCTTTTAAAAAAAACACATTAGATGTTGGGTATTGTAGAATATCTAAATATTTCATTGCAAAATAAATATGGAAATCCACAGATTAAACAAAGGACGGAGTCTTAATAATTTATTTTTTGCCGATCATTTCATTATTGTGTGTGATTTTTGATTTCGTAATATTGTCGAGAATTTTGTGTCGAGAAGAAAGAGTAGTGGTGTTGGACAGAAGGATAAGAGAGAGGGGCACCCGTTGAAAGGTGGTATGAGGTCCTGGAGAGGAAGACGAGAGAGACCTTTATTATGGTTTGTTTGCCACAATGGTCAATGGCTATTGAAAATATTACAAAAATAAATATTTTAAAAACATATAAAAATATACTTACATCTCATAACAACATTTTGAAATCTAGAGACAAAGTTAAAGAGCTAAATCGAATTAAGAGAAAAAGAGAGAGAGGTAGACAGTAGAAGAATTTGACGGAAATGGTGCGGTATAACGAGATTTCTCCTCAAAAAAACATATACATACAATACAAGAAGCACATATATGTGGAAAAAGAGAAAATACAAAGTGAAAGTGGTCCGTTACAAAGTAGATCAAGATGAAGATGAAGCAGTAAAGTGTGTGTGTATGTGCAGTTTGGATAAAGATGAAGCAGTTCAAGTTAAAAAACCCAAAACCAAAAGAGGAGATTGTACTTTTGGCGGGCCAAGGTAGTCGCAGAGTAAGAGCAGTGATGGACGATAATGCATTTGCATGGGGTGGCGGAAGAGCGGTGGTTGGTGTGGACTGGAGAATGGAGAATGAAGACGGTCCTCTGAAGCAAGAACTCGTACATCTCGTTGCTTGCTATTCCTTTCCTATGAATGTGTAAAAGAAGCCCGCACGACGTCGTCTATTGGAGCTCCGCATACAGGACATTTTCCTCCTCTCCATTGCAATTCCTTTGCACATTTCATACAGCTACACATGTGTCCACATCTGCACCATCATTTTCCACTTTTCTTCACTCATCACTTTTTCCACAAATACATACGTACGTGCATATATATATATAATTCATGCAAAATTTACCTATACAACAGCGAGTCAATTTGCATCTCATGGCAAATAATACAACATTTGGGCTTTCTTGATTTCGATTTCCTACCCCTTCCCCCTGCAATTCTCAATAAACCTACTTATTTCGTAAAGAAAAAAGAATATCAACCAATTGCAATATATAACAAGTGGTAAACAGGACTTACCTCCCACAACTTCCTGCTTAATTGATTGCTGCAACATGAGTTGCATGTCCATGCAGCATTTTATTGATTTTCTCAGTTCCGACATCTCCTGATACAACTGCTCCATGTGCCCTCTTAAGTCGTATATCAGTTCCATTTCCTTCACCAACAAGAAATTTGTAATTTTCAATGTCACACCACACCGCACATATTATAAATAATAATCCAGTAAAGGGGGGAGCTTACAATAGAAGCATGGTGGCTTCTTGAGACGAGGGAAGACTGTTGGTTGTTGGAGGAGAATTGAGGTGGAAAAGGTTGGGGCGAGGACATAGATGCAGCTCTGTTGGAATCCTCACCCATCTCGTTATCCTGGTAGCTCCATGAGCTCAATATTGATGGTGATGCCAATTGCAAAGGGGATGCAGATTGATCCAAATAATCACTTGTTTCTTCTTCTTCTTCGTTATCACTACTACTCTTTGGTTGAGTGTGTCCTTCTGAGAAACACCATAATTCTTCTTCTTCTTCTGCTCCATCGTTATCTTCATTATCCTCGTTGTATTCTTCTTGTTGCTGTGTTCGTTGCTCTAATCGAGACACCATCAGCTTATCCATTCTTTCACGGAAGTCACTCGTTAGAAAATTGGATACGGTTTTCCTGCATCAACAATTCAATTTATAACACTTACTTGCGGGGAAAATGCAACGCTACTATATTAATTTTAACTGAACAGATACCAAAAAGTCATTCCTCTACAAAACAGAGGAAGGAGAGCTTACTATTTCACTAACTACTCATGATGACTCAATCAGTCTATTTGGGAAACGAGTCAAGGAATAGGAATGATGGGTATACCTTTCAATAAGTTGACGTATTTCATCGTTGGCAGAATTAGAGTCGAGCATTTGCTGGTACCAACTTTGCCTGCGATCTTCCCAATAACTCCGAGGACGAGAAATATCAGTAAACCAGTTGTAACTAGTTCCCATATAGTCTGACTCTGCACCATAATTCTCTTCTGCTGCCTCGCTCTCTTCCCATCCATGGATTGAGTCTTGTGAATTCAAAATCAAATTAGGAGTATCTTGCCACGTGGGCTCCGAAGTTGGAGGGTCATGTCCTTGATCTTCTGTTTGCTCTTTGACATCTTCGGGAATTGGATGGTCGTCTACTGTGTTCATGCTGCTGCTATGTATGGCACTGTCACTGTCACTGACACAGGCACTGGCACTGGCACTGGCACTGGCACCAACTTGGTGGTTATCGTTATCGTTATTGCAGGTGGCATGGGTATCTGTGTCTGACTGGGTTTTCTCATCATCATTATTATTGTTATTGTTCAGCATCTCTCCAATGGGGCTTCTTAAACCATTCTCACCCACTCTACTAAATCTCTCCCTGCGACACATGCAAATCCAAAATCCTTACACAAGACATGCTCCCACAAATGAAGCAATGTCACAAATTATGTTGTTAAATGATGTAACATACCTGAGATGCATAATGGTAGAAAATCCCTGATTCTCTCGAGGCGTTATTACAAATTGTGGGCGCTGCTGCTGCTCGTCTTCCACTACCATTCCACGTTTCAGGATTTTGAGCCGAAGCAGTGACTACAACATTTCACAACCGGCATGCTCAATAGTCAAATTTTACTTATTCTCTATTTTGATATGGTAAAAACTTAGATGATTCATTTGATATATATATATATTACAATTATCAATTAAGAAGTTTGTTTAGTAATATAATTATTTAAAAAGATGAGAACAAATGGAGAGGATTTATGAAAAGAAAGTGACCTGGATGCGGCCACGTTGGGGGAATTTAGAAACGGGTCGACGGTCCAGCAAGGTGTCGAGCTCTTTTTGCCTGTCCCGCTCCATTTGCATGAGTAAATCGGCGAAGGCCTGGCGTCCTCTGATCCTTGGGGAGCATAAAACGTGAGAAAGGCATTTGTGCTCTACTTGTTCTCTGAGACTCAGACTGAGAGTGGGATGTGAGGAGGATTCATTTGGGTGCTGGTCGTTGTCTTCCACCAAAGACGGATGCGGAGGTTTTGCAGCCGTCAATGTCAATCTCCTAATGATATCAGCCACGCGCACCCTCTCGCTCTCTCTTTCTCCAGCATCCGAACTCTGGCTCTGTGTGGAAGAACTCGAACTTGTTCTGTTGGAATGCCAATCTGCAAAACCGTCCTCGCTCCCGGGCCCGGCATCGTACCTCTCGTCCTCGAAATCCCCTGCTTCCACCGAGCACGCCTGTTCCTGCTCCTGCTCCGGCTCCGGCTCCTTCGCATTTGCATTCCCATTCCCGTTCAAGCCGACGTGATTGGACGAAACGTTTAGCCTCTTCTCCCATATCTGGACAAGAGAAGAAGCTCCAAGTTTCGAGGTTTCCTTGGAGGGAGAAGGAGGAGGAGGAGGAGCCGTTTGCGGGGAAATGTGGTGGTTGTTGCGTTGGCGATCAATATTGGTAGATAAGGTTCGATGAAGCGGTTTGGTAGGCCGTCGTTCAAGAATAGAGGAGCGCCTTGGAGTGGAGGGATTGGCGGTGTTTTCGTTGGTTCTGGGGAGACGAAAATTGGAATTGGAATTGGGGTTGGGATTGGGGGTGATTGAAATGCAATCGTTGAGGCGATCCATGACCAAGGTCTTGAGGTTGTTGCGGAACTTAGCGACATTGGCGTTTCGGCGATTATGGTCTCTGAGAACGCAGCCAAAGGGTGAGGAGGAGGAAGAAAATTCCACCTGGGAGGAAGCCATGACAGCGTGGCCCAGAGAGAGGGAATGACGGAGGATGAATGAAATTCAAAACCCCATGAAATGGACAATGAGGAGGGCGGCGTTAAAAGAGATGGAATGCATGAGGGGCGGAATGAAGCGAAACCAATCCAGAAGGGAAGAGGGCGGGGCAAGGAAGATATGGAAATGGGGTGAGAGCGAAAAGAGAGGAGAGAAATTTGAGAGTTATAAGATGGAAATCACTGGCACACATCGAAGCAATGCTATATTAAGGAATTCGGATTCCAAACCACCAATACTAATACCAAACCAAACCAACACAATTAATTTGTAATTTATAATAATAGGAATAGGAATAGGAATAGGAACATTGTTTTGTTTGTGGGTTGGGTTTATTAATTACATTATAACCAATAACAAATGTTGCTGTGCTATTAGGAGAATGTAACCATTGAGGAAAGCCGGAGTTTTGAGCCGTTGGGAGGGTGGGGCGTGGGTCCCTTTACTCTCCAATCACACACAAATAATGAGAGATATGGTTCAAACTAAAGAGGGAACAAATACGTTTAGATCACCACCCACGCATCCAACCTCTCCTCCTCTTTCTATCAATTCAAATTTAAATAATAATAAAACAGCTACCGATTTTCTAAATATTGTTCTAGATATCAATTTTTTAGGATTATTGTTAAATGACCAATTTTATCTTTTATCTTTTTTTTTTAATGTCCTTTCATCTATTTAGAAAAACAGTGAATACAATATCCTATTTCGTACGGGTACAAGCATAGTCTCAGAAGTTACAAAAAGAGTTTAAGGGGGGAAAAAAGAACAAAAGAGGCGTAGCATAGCAGTGGCCCAAAATTAACATGAAAATTTGGGAAATAGAATATCAGTGCAGACTGCAGGGGAATTTGACCGATTTGACCTAAAAATGTTTTAGGTTTGCTCAAATGACCCAAATTTAGATTTTTCACTTATATGACTCAATTCCTCTTTTGCTTACAAATCAAGGTCCGTGAAATGACGAAACTACCCCTGCTTTATATAAAAAACCTGATAATGTATAGCTCTAAAAAAACTCGAGATCGCATAGAACTCGACGGAGTTTTTAATATATTGCACCAACCTAGATTTTATTAGTCACCAACCTCTTGTACGATCATTAATGCAATTAATTTCATTCGAAATGGATTAGTTCTTTTTTGTACTTCTCTTCATCCGCAGAGAACAATTACTTTCAGTGTTTGAAACGTGCTTTCGTGTAAGATCCATTGTTTTTTTTAACCTCGGAAAGATCCATTGTTTGAAACGCGTCTTTCGTCATCTTCAAACGATCAGGTTAGTTTTTTTTGTTTTCAGAGTATAAGTTATATTTTCTAAGTGTAAAGACATCATTTTCCCTTCTTTTTAAGTTTAAAAACATTGTTTGCTGGTTTTTGATCCGTTGAGAGTAAGAGAACGAGTTGTATTTATAATGTAGTTTGGTTAATCTCGGG